AGACAGGTTTTTATATAAATGGATCAGGAGAAAAAGAGAGAGAATCTTTGTTCCTGAAACTTTCAGAGTCTCTTTCCACAGAGGGGACACATGTTGATGTAGAAGAGACATGAAGAAGAGGGGACACATGTTGATGTAGAAGAGACATGGAGAAGAGGGGACACATGTTGATGAAGAAGATACATGAAGAAGAGGGGACACATGTTGATGAAGAAGAGACATGAAGAAGAGGGGACACATGTTGATGTAGAAGAGACATGGAGAAGAGGGGACACATGTTGATGAAGAAGATACATGAAGAAGAGGGGACACATGTTGATGTAGAAGAGACATGAAAAGTGGATTTTGCATAATAGGTGACCTTTAAGCTGACTTTACTGCAGGACTGCGTATTGTGATGTCACTTCCTGGATAGTAATCTCACTCAAAGTTGTGTTTAGGCTCTACTAGTATCTCATACATTTAGCATGTTCCTGTGTTTCTGATTATGACTTTAATAAGGACTTTAATGCTTGAATTAGTCCTAAAACCAGGAAATGAATTAGCATTTGATCACTTCTCTTGTCTTATCAACGTTTTTGTTTCAACATGCTTTTGGTTAAATATCTGAAATCTACAAAACACCTAATCGCTAGGCCTGAATTGTTATATATGAGAGTAATATTGATCTCTTTGCCTTACTGTCTGCACATTTTTAAACTTAGAAACCACCTTGTAAAATAATTTTTTTTTTTTACTTGCCAACGTCAAGGCTGTTGGAAGATGAAATTGTTTAATTAACTTTAGCTTATAGTATGTGCCAACTAGTGACGTAATGCAATGCGACAAAACTCTGCAGAATGCTTCCTTCTCTTCTCAACATGCGACAGCCTCTGACAGATGATTTGCTCCTTCTCTCTGCAGTGTCCTTTAAAGTTTCCTCTGGTTATAAATCTTTGATCTGAACTTTACTTTCTGAGTTCCTGAAAAGATCCTGTGTTGCTGTCTCCGTTCCCTAAACGCTGCGGTGTTGTATAAGGTGTCAGACGGCACTAAATCCTCCTGAGACCCGCTTCACTTCTACAGCTGGTAGTTGTAGTTTCTCACGAGGGTGTCCTGCCTCCCCCCTCCTCCCGTTTGCCTCTCTCCCATCTCCTCTCGTTCCCTCTCTCTGCGTCTCTCCATTTTCAGAGTGTAGCGCCTGAGTGCCACTTTCAACAAGCGGAGCGGATTCCTCAGCGTTGCCATGACAGCGTTGTGTGTGTGTGTGTGTGTGTGTGTGTGTGTGTGTGTGTGGTGTGGTGTGTGTGTGTGTGTTGTGTGTGTGTGTGTGTGTGTGTGTGTGTGTGTGTGTGTGTGTGGTGTGTGTGTGTGTGTGTGTGTGTGTGTGTGTGTGTGTGTGTGTGTGTGTGTGTGTGTGTGTGTGTGTGTGTGTGTGTGTGTGTGTGTGTGTGTGTGTGTGTGTGTGTGTGTGTGTGTGTGTGTGTGTGTGTGTGTGTGTGTGTGTGTGTGTGTGTGTGTGTGTGTGTGTGTGTGTGTGTGTGTGTGTGTGTGTGTGTGTGTGTGTGTGTGTGTGTGTGTGTGTGTGTGTGTGTGTGTGTGTGTGTGTGTGTGTGTGTGTGTGTGTGTGTGTGTGTGTGTGTGTGTGTGTGTGTGTCACCTGCATCACAAACCCAGACGAATGCAGGCGTCTAGCTCACGCACCAACATCCCCCTCACACACACACACACTTACCGACTTTAGATGGGGAATACCCACAGAGGAGTTGAGATACCCCTCACTGATTTATTAATGACAGCAGGTGGAGATGGAGCGAGAATACACCGGGAAGAATGAAAAAGTGGAGAGGGGTCGCACAAAGGAGACAAATAGCGTGCATGTTTTATTAAACAGTCGGGGTGTTGGATTATTTACTGCAGCTGGAGGAGGGGTCGATATTGGCTCATATACACACACTCACACACACTCACACTCTCAGGCAACATGCTTAAGACAAGGCACTACTGTATGTGACATTTTTGTGTAATTGAATGTCAGGAGACATTAGAGGATGGAAGAGCAGGAGGGACGTAAAGAGGACACACTTGCCACTTTCTATCACGTGTTGTTCAGTCTGGACAAACACATTAAGGGGCATGTGAACACACACACACACACACACAGCAATTACTGAATTTGTCTTTGTTTACCTCCATTTGCTTGGCTTGGTTTTCCTCTCATTCTGGAAGTATTCATTGCGCCAGAGATTATATTGGAAGCGTGGGAGAGAGCGTGAGGACGGCTCGTTTCCAGGGAACTGACCCGTAAACACACACCTTCCACACGCACGTATGCAAACAGTGAGCACACACACACACAAAATCAACGAGCGTGTCCCACTTAGAGTTAGCTGTTTGGATGCAAGTTTTAATTTGACATTTCCTTTCTTTTTTCATTCTAAAATAGAGTGACTATAACCAAACTTAAATTCCCCTAGGATAAAGTATTCTGATTCTTATCAAATTAGATAATAAACTTTTTGATGCAAGCATCCCTATTGTGCTCTAAAATGATTTAATCAAAATGCAGGTTTTAGGACTGGGTAGAAATCTGCTTCAATTGACTAGAAAATATACACTTTTGCCATTTAGCCTCCATTTTGTCTAGGCTTCACATCATTTGACAGGATCTACAGTGCATCCGGAAAGTATTCATATCCCTTCACTTTTTGCAGATCGTCTCACGCTCCATCAGCTTGGATGGAGAGCGTCGGTGCACAGACATTTTCAGATCTCTCCAGAGATATTCAATCGGGTTCAAGTCTGGGCTCTGGCTGAGGCACTCAAGGACATTCACAGACTTGTCCCGAAGCCACTCCTTTGTTATCGTGGCTGTGTGCTTAGGGTCGTTGTCCTGTTGAAAGGTGAACCTTCGCCCCAGTCTGAGGTCCAGAGCGCTCTGGAGCAGGTTTTCATTATTTCATTTCATTTCAAACCTTTATTTATTCAGGTTGTATCCCATTGAGATCATTGACCTCTTTTTCAAGGGAGACCTGCTGGAGGATCTCTCCGTACATTGCTGCGTTCATCTTTCCCTTGATCCTGACTAGTCTCCCAGTTCCTGCTGCTGAAACTAGGGCTGCTCGATTATGGCAAAAATCATAATCTCAATAATTTGTGTCAATAATTGATATCACGATTATTAAAAACGATTATCCATTTACTTTGAAAACTTCAATTTATTGGAGAAATTATTTTTGAACAGTATGTTTTTAACAGTTGATTACCCTGAACTTCAAGTTTAATTCAACTGAAAAACCAATAATTAAAAAAAAAAAATCTTTAAATAAATAATAATAATAAAAAAATAATCGTTTTATTTCGATTACGTTGTTTTCGTAATCGTTGCAAGCCATAATCGTAATTGCGATTAAAATACGATTAATTGAGCAGCCCTAGCTGAAACACATCCCCACAGCATGATGCTGCCACCACCATGCTTCACTGTAGGGATGGTGTTGGCCAGGTCTGGTTTCCTCCAGACATGATGCTTGGCATTCAGGCCAAAGAGATCCATTTTGGTTTCATCAGACCAGACAGTTTGGTTTCTCATGGTCTGAGAGTCCTCTAGGTGCTCCATGTGGGCTTTCATGTGCCTTTTACTGAGGAGTGGCGTCCTTCTGGCCACTCTTCCATTAAGGCCTGATTGGTGGAGTGCTGCACAGATGGTTGTCCTTCTAGAAGGTTCTCCCATCTCCACAGAGGAACACTGGAGCTCTGTCAGAGTGACCATCCACCGGGTTCTTGGTCACCTCTCTGACTAAGGTCCTTCTCCCCCGATGTTCAGTTTGGTTTGGGCAGCAAGCTCTAGGAAGAGCCGTGGTGGTTTCAAACATCTTCCATTTGCAAATGATGGAGACCACTGTGCTCGTTGGGACGTTCAATGCTGCAGACATGTTTCTGTACCCTTCCCCAGATCTGTGCCTTGATACAATCCTGTCTCTGAGGTCTACAGACAATTCCTTGGACCTCATGACTTGGTTTGTGCTCTGATGTGCACTGTCAACGGTGGGACCTCATATAGACAGGTGTGTTCCTTTCCAAGTCATGTCCAATCAATTTAGTTTACCACAGGTGGACTCCACTCAAGTTATAGAAACATTCCAAGGATGATCAGTGGAAACGGGAGGCACTTGAGCTCAATTTTCAGCGTCATAGCAAAGGGTGTGAATACTTATGTACATAAAACGTTTTCAAAGTATTATGGGGTATCATGTGTGGAATATTGAGAGACAAAATGAATATAATCCATTTTGAAATAAGGCTGTAACATAACAAAATGTGAAAAAGTGAAGGGGTATGAAACTATGAATACTTTCCGGATGCACTGTATAAGCAGCTCTTCCCTTGTGGCCCCTCAGACACTAACAGTCTCTCTTATGAAGCTCATTCTCTTGTCTCTGTCATTCCTCTCCTCTTTCTCCCTCTCCTCTCTTTGTCTCCCTCTCTCTCTCTCTCTCTCTCTCTCTCTCTCTCTCTCTCTCTCTCTCTCCCTCGTGGTTCCTCCGGCTCGTTAGCAACGTTTAGAAATGTTTCCGGCTCATTTGGCTCTTGGCTCTTGCGTTGACATTAAGCGGTGTGATGAGCTGCTGAAACCCCGCGGCGGACATGACACCTCCGTCTCTGTCAGGTCAGGACTCTCAGCTCAGCCACCTGTTCTCTTCTTCTTCCTCTCCTATGTCAGTGAGGAGCTATAATGGTGGTTTTCCTACAGGGGGTTTAAATGATGACAAAACGTCAGAGTGCAATTTAGACAGACAGCAAGTGATACAGTTTTGGATATTTAAAGGTCCCCTATTATACTGTTTTTCATCAATACATTATAGGTCTCAGATATATACAAAACATGTCTCTGAAGTGTACACAGAGGGGACACATGTTGATGTAGAAGAGACATGGAGAAGTGGATTTTGCATAATAGGTGACCTTTAACTAATCATCTCTCTCTCTCTCTCTCTCTCTCTCTCTCTCTCTCTCCTCAGACGTAGACCAGCATGCCGTTGGTGAAGAGGAACATCGAGCCCCGGCACCTCTGCCGCGGGGCGTTGCCTGACGGGGTGACCAGTGAGCTGGAGTGTGTGACCAACAGCACTCTGGCAGCCATCATCAAACAGCTGGGCAGCCTCAGTGAGTATCAGGAGTCAAGTGTAACACACACAGGGGGCTCAGTGAAATGTCTGATATCTGATTGAGGCTTCAGGAAAAGAGTCATGTTTGACACAGACAGAGGGCTCAATAAAATATCTGAAATCACAATATGGACGAAGCAATATTCATATCGCAGGAAGCACAATATTTTTTAAAGGCTTAATATGTGTTCAAATACAATTTTAGTTAAGTATTGCAGAGTCATCATTTTAATATATCTTTTAATGATAATGAGAATAATGATGCAAAATGTATCACTCAAAATAAATGCAATTAGTTATTTGTGTGTTCAGCCCTAAACTTATGAATGAATTTGTATTTCCTTTTTCTCTTTATCTTGAATGACTAGATGTTGTAACATTGTCTACTAACCTGAGTTCATCTTGGAGAATGCTACCTATGCTTAAATACTAAAGCCTCCTGTCCACACTAGCATTTAAAACTCATCTCAGTATAGCTCAAAGTTGAGTTGCAGAGCACACACTTGTGCCAGACGAGCGATTATTCAGTGAAACACAGATCCTGTTTGAATTTGATTAACAGTCGGCGTCTAAATGAAATTCAGCGACAGCTCTGGGAGAGATGCTCTGCCTCGACTCCATCTGTCATCTCATTGGTTTAGAGGCAGAGAGATGTGTGCATGTTTATATGTGTGTGCATTTCATTAGGCTTCGAGGTGCACTGTGTTATTGAGGATGGCTTCTCAGTAAATACATTCAAATATTTGTAATTCTGTCACACACACGGCAGACATCCATCTCGGTGAATTTCAATCATCTCCTGTTTAATCTGAATATGTTTGGAGAGTTTTCTAACTTTTATTTGGGCTGTAACTCACTGAAAAGGGATTTTATAGTCATTTCTGTTAGTCCAATTAAACCGTAATGCCTGCTGCATAAATCAAGAAATTCCCAGTGACTGAACCCCCAGAATGCAATATTGTATACTATTTTTATATGTGTGTGTGTGTGTCTGTGTTTCCGTCCAGGTCGCCATGCAGAAGACATTTTCGGAGAGCTGTTCAACGAGGCCAACAGCTTCTACCTGAGGATGAGCAGCCTGCAGGAGAGGGTGGACCAGCTGGCCGTGAAGGTGACGCAGCTCGACTCCACCGTGGAGGAGGGTGAGGACCAGAGTTTTAATTAGTCATGTTACGTTCGCCAACGATCCGATTCATTTGGAACGGCTCTTTGGTACGAACCAAGGGAACCGAGTCGTACTTGGTGAGAGCCGTTCTTTTTATCGTTGGTTCACTTGCCTGCCATAAATCCACTCGCCTTTACGGGAACTTGCTTTTCCTGAATGCACATTAGCCATAGATGATGATGGCATAACGCGTGCTGCTTGAGTAGTAGTTTGGCTGGCTGAGAGATGTAGCAAGTTATACATTTTTCTGTGAGTAAAAGTAGATTCCTGGCAATGCAGTCAATCATTATCCTGGTGATTATTTCGCAGATAAACCTATTAGCCCCGCCCCCTTAAAAAAAAAAAACGGCTCTTTTGAACGGCTCTCGGAAAAGAACGGAGCCATAAGATCCGGCTCCCTTCAAAGAGCCGTAATTCCCATCACTAGTTTTAATTAGTAATAAAGAAAGCTCATCACGTAGGACAAAAGGTTTCAGTCATGGGGATGTGCATTTGTGTGTGTGTGTGGCCCTTTAAATGTCTTGTCCCTGAGGATTGTAATGAGTGCTGTCTCAGGTGTGTGTGTGTTCATGTGTGTGTTTACAACTTGTTCCCCTTTGTTTCATGTCTGTCTGCTTTATCACTATCTCCATTTCAATGTGTGTGTGTGGGTTTGAGTACTACTGAGTGTTTAGTGAACAGAAAAACACACACTCACATGTCGCTCAGTGTGTGAGTGTGTTTGTGTGAGCCATGATCGCTATCTCCATCATTAAGCATCTCACTATCTCTGAAGGTCAATTCTTTTAATGCAGTAATTGATAGGCACACACACACACACACACACACACACACACACACTGTGATGATCCACTCAGCACTTACAGAAGGGTTTCAGAGTAGAGTACGGTGGCCCTGGAGGCTCAAAATCAACTTAAAAGGGAAATATGAGAAACCTCAAAGCTTAGTGCTTTTCCCTTTTTCTCTCTTATATATTATTTCTTCCTCATCTCCCCAAGTCTCCTTTTCTTCATTTGTCTCCTTTCTTCACCCTCTCTGACTACTTCCAGTTCTCTTGTTATCATCCTCACCTCTCCCTCTGTCCTTCCTTTCATCTAATTGTCCTCCATCTTGTTATATAATGATTCCTTCTGTCCTATATCTATTTTTCTCTCTCCTTTTTTTAATTCCAATCTCTCTCCCCCACTTTTAATCTCCTCTTGCTTCCATGTCTTTCCTCCCTCTCTCTCCCCCCTCCTTATTAATATTGCCGAGTCATTCTGCAGCGCGGCGCCTCAGACAGAGTTTCAGAGAAAGCTGCACAGACGGCGATGAAAAGGAAAAAGCTCAGCAGTCCTCAGCCGTATCTTCCTCTCCTCCTCTTCCTCTCCTCCTCCGTTCATTACCACGCTTCTTCTTCCTCCTACGCACAAGCAATTTGTCCGTCCACCTCACATTCACTACCACTTCTTTCTCTGCCTTCTCCTTCCTCCTTCTCGCCGTCTTTCTGTGATTCTTCAAGCTAGCAGGCAAATGAAACCGTGAGTGAGTGAGGGAAGGATGGAAGAAAGAAATGAAGGCAGCAAGGAAGGAAGGAAGGAAAGGAAAGACGGTGAAAGGATATAGGAAGAAGGGAAGGGTTGTAAAGTAACGGCCCGTCCACACAGCAGCGTTAAAAAAATCTTGGAGGTGGGCGTATCTGAAGCTTGGGGATTTTTTGCGAGCAAGGCACCAACAACCAATCACATGAATCTCCCGCCCCCGACATACAAAGCAAAAAAGCCCGAAGTAAACTGGATATAAACTCCCCAAACAGGCGAAAACCTACCACTGTCTCTGCCACCTCCCTCCATGCCTGGCTCCTCCGGTTTGTATCCCGGTAGGTAAATAGGGACTGGTCATAAAGCACCGGGTGATTCCCTACCGCTAATTTCTCCTCCATGTTTTGGAATATGAGGAAATGACCTGTGGTATGTCTCTCCCAGCATACACGCGGTTTGATTGGCTAGCGCTTGAACTGTCAGATTTGCATACACGGGATTTGATTGGCTGACGCTTCCACCTCAGCTTCAAAAGTTGAACATTGCTCAACTTTTGAAGCCTGAAAATCCTGAAAATCTCCGCTCTGCTTCCCACAATGCAGTTCGGCGAAAAAGTGAGGGAAAGTGACGTCACCCCATTCAAAGTGAATGGGCAGAAGCGTTTCAAGATTTTTTTAACGCTGCTGTGTAGACGGGCCGTAACACTTGAAAGAGGGAAGGAAAGGATGGAAGGAAGGAAAGGTCATGAAGAAAAGTAACAAGGAAAGGGAAGGACAGTACATATCTCATCAAGTCTTTCCTGACTTAGATTTGCGCCTAAAAAGCATATTTTCGTTTTCTTTGCATTTAAAATGTGAAAAAAAATGCCATTTAAAAAAATATATATATGAATGACTGTTTATGCACGACATGTGAAATCGTTATTGAACAAGTAGTAAAAAGGTCTCTTTAAAAGGACATCACATATAGTGTAGGGAAGTCAAAGACAGACCATATTAGCTTCAGAGATCCACTCTTATCTCTTTGGTTGTGGATTTGAATCGCTTCTGTTCACTTCACTCGTGTCAAATGGCATTATCGCCCTCTGTTCATGGGAAAGGAATGATGCGTCACACACACAACAACACCCCCACTAACAGAGCATCTCTTTGAAACCGATATTCATTCATCCAACACGCTTCCTTCTACTTCCTGTATTGCGCTGCACCTCCTCCAGGACATTGAAATGATTATTAAAGCATCCACGTACATGTCAGACGTCGTGATACATTCATCTGGTTATTCGCAGTAACACAACATATTTGTATGAGATGGAAGAGAGCCGGAGGACACGAAGTGAGAGGTGATGGAGTGTGTGTGTGTGTGTGGGGGGGTGTGTGTGTGTGTGAGAGAGAGAGAGAGAGAGGGGGAGCTAGAGGACTCTTTGAAGATGTGTGTGAATGAAAGTTGCATTAGCTGCTAGTTTTGTGGATTATTCATTTGGCTGCAGGGACGGAAGCTTAGGAAGGAATGATCAAACGGCGAACAGACAGGAGTGTGTGCTGACTACAGAAACACACACACACACACACACAGAGATCAAACAGCCAATCGCTCGCTTGTGCTTTAGGAATTCGCCGTCAGAGGGTTTTTTTTCTGACGCTGTTAATAACTGCGTTCATCATACACACACACACACACACACACACATTTCATAAGTCAAGTAAATCAGTGGTAGCAACATATGTCACACTGACACACTTTAACCTTATTACACACACACACTGAGGCAATATGTGTGTGTGTGTGTGTGTGTGTGTTTATCCATCTGTTTGATCCTGGATAGATTTCCACTACTGTAGCGTTAAATCTCCTGTCGGGGGGTTAAGGGATTGGCACACACACACACACACATATATGTCTTCTCTGTCTCACGCTCCCTTCTATCTCACACACACATGCTATCTCTGTTCTATGTAGACAAATCCAATTATCACCTAGTTCTACATGTACACTTAAATGAATTACATGCAAGAAAATGTGTTTACTAAAAAAACACACGCTATATTTTCTTGTTACTGCTGCAGTGTGTGTGTGTGTGTGGGGGTGGGTGGGTGGGTGTTAAGCTGGTGCAACAAGCTCTGACACTAATCTGTCCCTGCTGTGCCATTATCATACTCTGTGTGTGCGCCTATGTATGTGTTGGAGGTCATACAGTGTGTACGCTGTCTATGTGTTATTATAAGGTTTTACAGGCACATACAGGGGTTTTTATTTCCCGTTTCCTCCTATTATTGTGGTAGAAACCTTAAAACCTGAACCATCCTTTTATATAAGTATGATTAGAGCATACAATTCATTCAATATTTGTATTAAAGGAGACATCCATTGATGTTAAGTGGGCCCCAGGAGTCATTTCTGTCATGAAATGTCCTCATTTTCTGTCAGAACTCGTAGTTTGTTATCGCCTGTTCTTCTGCTCCTGTGAGCAATTTCCCACATTCCCCGAATGCCTTTCAAAAAATCCATAAACACATAAATCTCCAGGTCCAAGGCTCGACAGTGTGATATTCCTAGGCTGCACTTTTGCATTCAAGCTGGCACCCACGAGTGTGTGACTAAATTGTTCAAATCTAATTTCCTATTTTTGCTTTTTCGATGAATGAAGCATAAAATGATGTGCTCTGAATTTATTGCGTTGAAGGCCTGGCCCAATAAACAATAGGTAGATTAAAACAAGATGTACTTAATTTTTCTGCTGTTAATCAAAAAATAAAATCTTATGAAAATGCATTTTCTTGCATTTTTCATCTAATAAATCTAATTACCCTACTACATGCTGAATGTCCAGGATGTTGGTAAATATCAACATTACAGCCACTGAACATAACGTGAATCATTATTTGACATCTGTTATACCCTGCATAGAAGTTTTAATTGTATCTTATTTTATTTAATCTCAAACTGTCTATGCGGTGGGATAAAACTTTAAATCTAAGTAGCCCTGGATGATATGTGCACTGACAAGAGATCATTAATTCCCATAAATCCTGATTTGATTTATGAGTGCCTCTGCAGATCAGAGAACAGTACATTACACGACATGTCACTTGTTAGACGCTTTTATCCAAAGCGATTTACATACTCAATACTGTGGACAATCCCCACAGGAGCAATTTGGGGTGAAGTCTGTTGCCCAGGGACACAACGACATGCTGACTGCAGTGGGGTTTGAACCCCCCAGATCAGAGGGCGGCGCTGCACATCCAGGATTAAGCTGCTAATCCGACGAGTTATAAAAACAGCTGTTTTCAGGGATTATTTCATAAATGCTGTGTAAATGATACGCAGAAAACAAATCTGCCTTTTGTTCGACCTCACTGTCTCGTTGTTTACTTGATTTTAAAGGTCATCAATATATCACAGGTCTCAGATATATCCAGAGCCTGTCTCTGATTGGCTGAAACACCAAACAGATCATTGCAGCATTACCCATAATCCCCTCTGTTTCAGCCCTGTTTCAAAAGTGCTGATTCTCTGTCTGTTACTTTAGATGAAAATAAGGAGCCCCTCCCCACGCCCCTCTGAGAGAGATTTGGTTAGAAAGAACTCAATGGTGCTCTAGGAGGAGATTCAGGTGATAAGGTGGGGGGGGGGGGGGTTACCTTGGTTGGTGATTGGCTAATGGTTACACAAGACAAAACATCGTTATGATATCATAAAGTGGCCCAAATCTGATCAGCTCATTTTCAGACAGGTTTTTATAAAAATGGATCAAAAAGAGAGAGAATCTTTGTTCCTGAAACTTTCAGAGTCTCTTTCCACAGAGGGGACACATGTTGATGAAGAAGAGACATGAAGAAGAGGGGACACATGTTGATGTAGAAGAGACATGAAGAAGAGGGGACACATGTTGATGTAGAAGAGACATGAAGAAGAGGGGACACATGTTGATGAAGAAGAGACATGAAGAAGAGGGGACACATGTTGATGTAGAGGAGACATGAAGAAGAGGGGACACATGTTGATGTAGAAGAGACATGAAGAAGAGGGGACACATGTTGATGAAGAAGAGACATGAAGAAGAGGGGACACATGTTGATGTAGAAGAGACATGAAGAAGAGGGGACACATGTTGATGAAGAGGAGACATGAAGAAGAGGGGACACATGTTGATGTAGAAGAGACATGAAGAAGAGGGGATACATGTTGATGAAGAAGAGACATGAAGAAGAGGGGACACATGTTGATGTAGAAGAGACATGAAGAAGAGGGGACACATGTTGATGAAGAGGAGACATGAAGAAGAGGGGACACATGTTGATGTAGAAGAGACATGAAGAAGAGGGGACACATGTTGATGTAGAAGAGACATGAAGAAGAGGGGACACATGTTCATGTAGAAGAGACATGAAGAAGAGGGGACACATGTTGATGTAGAAGAGGGGGACACATGTTGATGTAGAAGAGGGGACACATGTTGATGTAGAAGAGACATGAAGAAGAGGGGACACATGTTGATGTAGAGGAGACATGAAGAAGAGGGGGACACATGCTGATGTAGAAGAGACATGAAGAAGAGGGGACACATGTTGATGTAGAAGAGACATGAAGAAGAGGGGACACATGTTGATGTAGAAGAGACATGAAGAAGAGGGGACACATGTTGATGTAGAAGAGACATGAAGAAGAGGGGACACATGTTGATGTAGAAGAGACATGAAGAAGAGGGGACACATGTTGATGTAGAAGAGACATGAAGAAGAGGGGACACATGTTGATGTAGAAGAGACATGAAGAAGAGGGGACACATGTTGATGAAGAAGAGACATGAAGAAGAGGGGACACATGTTGATGTAGAGGAGACATGAAGAAGAGGGGACACATGTTGATGTAGAAGAGACATGAAGAAGAGGGGACACATGTTGATGAAGAAGAGACATGAAGAAGAGGGGACACATGTTGATGTAGAAGAGACATGAAGAAGAGGGGACACATGTTGATGAAGAGGAGACATGAAGAAGAGGGGACACATGTTGATGTAGAAGAGACATGAAGAAGAGGGGATACATGTTGATGAAGAAGAGACATGAAGAAGAGGGGACACATGTTGATGTAGAAGAGACATGAAGAAGAGGGGACACATGTTGATGAAGAGGAGACATGAAGAAGAGGGGACACATGTTGATGTAGAAGAGACATGAAGAAGAGGGGACACATGTTGATGTAGAAGAGACATGAAGAAGAGGGGACACATGTTCATGTAGAAGAGACATGAAGAAGAGGGGACACATGTTGATGTAGAAGAGGGGACACATGTTGATGTAGAAGAGGGGACACATGTTGATGTAGAAGAGACATGAAGAAGAGGGGACACATGTTGATGTAGAAGAGACATGAAGAAGAGGGGACACATGCTGATGTAGAAGAGACATGAAGAAGAGGGGACACATGTTGATGTAGAAGAGACATGAAGAAGAGGGGACACATGTTCATGTAGAAGAGACATGAAGAAGAGGGGACACATGTTGATGTAGAAGAGGGGACACATGTTGATGTAGAAAAGACATGGAGAAGTGGATTTTGCATAATAGGTGACCTTTAAATCTCTCTCTCTCTCCGCTCCTCCCAGTCTCCCTGCAGGACATCAACATGAGGAAGGCCTTTAAGAGCAGCACCACCCAGGACCAGCAGGTGGTCTCCAGGTCCTCCGTCTCCAACCCCGTGGTGGAGATGTACCATCGCTGCGACAAACCCCCCCCACTCAACATCCTCAGCTCCTACAGGTAATAATACTAATAATAATAATACATGGGATTTTTATAGCGCTTTTCCTAATGCTCAAAGACGCTTTAACGCAGTCCAGTGAGCTGAACACATGATCTGCCTTGAGGCTTTACACACATCATCCTAATGTTATTGACTACGTAAGATAATTACGAATCATTATATAAAACATGTTTGATATTGATGTTCTTTATTAGTTCAAGAAATATTAAGGTGTGAACGATCAGCGATGAAATATTCAGCAGAAACCTGTCAATGAGAACAAGCTAATCGGGAAGCGTCAACTTGTACCTTGCTAAAGCTAACATGCTAGTTATCCATGCTAATGAGCCGAGCTAATGTTAACTACGACGATAATTGTAAGACCTACATTGCTCCCACTTCATTTTAGGTTATTTTTTAATTGTGATTGATGCTCCATCTTCATAAATGACTACATTAATCATAATGTAAGTTACTTAGTTGTCTGGTTTCATCACAATCTATGATGTGAATTAGCTACTGTAGTAACCATGCTAATGTAGCACTTAGCCCATCGAATGCCTTGACTACAATTCAAAATTGGAGAACTCTTTTAAAACTTGCCCCACGTTTTGAAAATCGTAAAAGTAGTACATGTATTTTATCTTAAAAAAATGATCAAATAAGGTTTTATTTAGTTGCATTTGCTCCTTAACCTCACACACATCCTGCTCCATTTTCTTTCCATCCTACGTCACGCCGCTTCTTTTTTTCAACCCACTTTGTCCCCCTTTCTCTACAGGGACGACAAGAAGGACGCCTTGAAGTTCTACACCGACCCCTCGTACTTCTTCATCCTGTGGAAGGAGAAGATGCTGCAGGCCACCGAGGACAAGCGCAAGGAGAAGAGGCGGCAGAAGGTGTGTGTGCGTCTGTGTGTACGTCGACTGTGGGTGCGTTTCACTTCTCTTGTTTTTCATTTCCTCGCTCCTCGGTCCTCGGTATCACCGGAAGTTGATTAGTCTGCGCCATCTTGAGTAGCGTCCCAGTGGCCTTATTTGTGCCGGAGGACCGAGGATCGAGGAGTGATAACGGAGGAACTACCAGACCATCCTCCGGTGAAATCTTCAGAAACTCGCCCCGCCCCCTTACTGTGTATCGCTCACTGATTGGACGATGCAGCGCATGCACTGATCCGGCTGCTGTGAGGCGATCAGCTGAGCGGCGTCATCACAAACGGACGTCGCTTCACGTGACGCTCCGGAGGAAACGACGTCCCATTACTCTTAAAACTCATTTCCCTGCTTCTCGTGGTTTCCTTGCGTCTCTCCATGCTTCCCTGGTGGGAGGGACTAGTCGCAGGGAAACGACGCAAGTGAGGGACGCAAGGAATCCATTTAACCGAAGAGAGACGCACCCTGTGTGTATACATCAGTTTGTGGAGGTCATGTGTGTTTGTGAGTGCATGTTGGAGAAACGTTGTCCTAAATATGTGTGTCATTAAACACATGCTGCAGGCTGGATTTGTGATTGTGAGCGTGTGACAAAATGTTAAACACATCCATCTTCTGCTTAATTGTGATTGTGTTTTTATGCTGCTCTTTCATTTGATGCATTCCTGTGTTACATCATTAGCTTTGCTTCGTTTTGTAATTGGTGATTGATCAGCAGGTGGACAGGGACTCATAAATGACCAAAGGGGAATACAACTGTTTTTAAATGAAACCATATTGACATTCATACAGAGATGTAGCTACTAAATAATGATCCTGAACCTAAATACGTATTGTCTTCTATTTCAAATTAGATTTTAAGAGCCAGAAACTATTATCAATCTAAGTTTATTCTACTTTTATCGAAATGTAGTCCAATTTCAGTCATGGATAGCACACGTCGTTTTTATTGGATACAAAAAATTACAGGGATAATTTGCTGAGTGAGTCTTGTATATCTCTTCGAAACAGTCACTAATGGCGCATTTCCATGACAGCGCGGTTTAAGCGTGCCGTGCCGCGCCGTGCCGTGCCCGGCCCGTTTTTGGTTGCGTTTCCACGAGGCGTAGTTCCGGCTAGCGGGTGCTTTTTCACAGTTTTTCTGGCTCTCCAAAATCGAGGTTCTTTCCGGGCCAACAACCAGGCTGAGTATGTGAGAGAATCGCTGGCAACTACAACACAATGAACATATTTGACCGTGATTTAATTGTAATACACGTTTCAAAATGATGCCGAAGTAACAACATACTGATACCGGTTAGTAAAAACCATGAATTAATGCTTTGACAAGTCTGCAGACAGACGGCAGGCGAAACACCTTTTAAAATGTGTGTTTTCTGAATGGAGATTGGCTAAGCTAACGCAGTATATGCTCCAACCGTCCACACTCACAACAACGGCCTATACAGACATAAATAAAGCAGCGACTGTATTCACCATGACACAGGCAGTCTGTGGTTTGTACTTGTTTAACTTTTGTCTAGTTTCTGAACATATATGAGGAGCTGTGAGCTCTGAGTGCTAACAGCTAACGGCTGTGTTGTTTTTCTGGGGTTCTCATTGAAGATGACGTCACGGCTCCGCCTACACTGCGTTACTATAGTTACTGCCCCAGTTCCTAAACTGTAATGGAAACGCAGCATAAAGTGAGCCTGGCCTAACAAGGCCTAACGAGGCCTAGCCATACAGCCCTGCAGTGGAAAAGCGCCATTAGTGTCCATTAGGACCAACATAATTGGCATACAAATGTAATATTTCTAGCTAAATTGTATTTATTTATTTATTCCCCTTTAATTCACTTCTCTGGACATGTTTCGACCCCCTGAACATCTGCTGCTGTACGTGTTAGCGCTGTGCTATGTCAATATGTCTGTTTAATGTAATGCTGCTCACGTGTTTATGTTCCCTCCTTTTCAACCTGGAAACTGAATAAAATCTCCCACAAAGATGGAGGATCTAATCCTTCCTTCTTCTTCTTCCTCTTTCTCTAATGTATAGAGTTATCTAGCCTCAAAGACCCCCCCCCCCTCTCTCCCTCTCCCTCCTCAGTCTAAGCTTCTTTCTCTCCCATGTTTCCATAGGGCTGTCCGGCCCACCCTGACAGGCCCCACTCCAGACAGGCCCCACCCAGGAGCCCCCTGTCCATCTCTGTAAGACAACCCAGACTCTTAACCCCTAAACCCCCCACTTCCCCCCATGCACCCCTGCACCCTCACACACTCACTTTTATAGAGGAATTTGGGTAAGAAACGGGCAGGAAACTACAAATGTAAGCTCAAAACTAGCCATTGTTTGCATTTCAGTACTAAGAAATAATGTGTGTGTGTGTGTGTGTGTGTGTGTGTGTGTGTGTGTGTGTGTGTGTGTGTGTGTGTGTGTGTGTGTGTGTGTGTGTGTGTGTGTGTGTGTGTGTGTGTGTGTGTGTGTGTGTGTGTGTGTGTGTGTGTGTGGTGTGTGTGTGTGTGTGTGTGTGTGTGTGTGTGTGTGTGTGTGTGTGTGTGTGTGTGTGTGTGTGTGTGTGTGTGTGTGTGTGTGTGTGTGTGTGTGTGTGTGTGTGTGTGTGTGTGTGTGTGTGTGTGTGTGTGTGTGTGTCGTTGATTGCCACCTCGTCCTCTCTCTAACCCCCTGTGATTGCTTTGCTTCCTGTCTTGTGTTGCCTTAAGTTTTGGCTCCTTCATTGTGTGTGTGTGTGACCCCATGATGAAGGAGCTGGTGACAGGGTCCTGTTCTCTTCCTCTGACCCACACTGATCAATAATCAATAACTAACTTTCTCTCCGTCTGTCTGCCTCGTCTCTCCTGCAGGAGCAGCAGAAGCAGGTGGAGGACCCCAGCAGAGAGGTGAAGAAGGTCAGTGATGATACACACACACACACACACACACACACTCTGACACTACCTGTAGACTGCCTTTCCAAAAGAGCATTTTGCAGTGGAACATAATGTGTGTATCAGCTCCATGCTTCAGACTCACTCTTGAATGTAATGTCTTCTCTCTTGACCCATGCTTCACCTTTCATACACATCTGGTCTATAGTGTTTATGTTATGTTGCTGACAAACACAAAATTACAACCAGACCCAAAACAAGATCTCCTTGGAGGAAAAAAACATATAAAAAAAATCTGAAATCTTCTTGAAATCTGGAGTAACCGGCTTTTAAAAGACAGATCCTCAGATGTTATTTATAACTCAGGTTTTTATGAGTGTAATAGAAGAGAGGAGACCTTTGCCAGCATGGAGACCACTCTTAAACCATCCTTAATAAAAGTATATTAAATCAATGTATTAAATGAAAGACGATGAGACACTCGGTGCCTGTTAGTGGAGTAAGTGGAGACCACAGTTAAAATGATACAGCAGCACACTTAACCACAAGATGTCATCATCACTTCCATTATTCATTCCTGTCTTATTCTTCCAGTGATAAATATTTACATTTCCCGCCTTTTTTTTTAAACTCTCTTCAGGTGCGTAAGGCTCGTAACCGCCGTCAGGAGTGGAACGTCCTGGCCTACGACAAAGAGTTCAGACCAGACGCCCGCCTCACCCCCTCCCCCTACCACGGCATGTCCTCAGAGGGGTCCCTGTCCCCTGATAGCAGGTACACACACACACACACGCACACACACTGAAACAGACACACACACACGCACACACACTGAAACAGACACACACACTGAAACAGACACACACACGCGCACACACTGAAACAGACACACACACGCGCACACACTGAAACAGACACACACACTGAAACAGACACACACACTGAAACAGACACACACACTGAAACAGACACACACACTGAAACAGGCACACACACACACTGAAACAGACACACACAAACAGAAGATTGTGGACTGGGAATACATAAACACTCATGGGACAGACATATTATTGGGGTTTAACGGTGACGTTTTCTGCATTGGAATTGTAACCAATCTTCATTAATTTAATTTTTTCTCAGAATTAAAATGCTATAAATAGTCTGCAGGTATTTGTATGAAAAAACGTCTCACAATGACACACATCAAAGGTGGGGCAGGTAATTCACTTCAGAAACACTTTTTGTTATATTCCATGGAATGCTCTTAACATCCCGATAGCAATGAATACATTAAATGCTTTGACAATAAATACATACAATAAATATCATCTGTGGAAGCCGTGGCGCTGTAAAAAGCACGACCAATCATCTGAGCCGGCCCGGCTAAAATAACTGGATGGCCTACCTGCCTGTCAGCCTTCCATCTGTGCACAAACTTATCTCGTCCCCTCATTGGTCATGTGCGCGTCCGTGTGTGTTGGAGGAGGGGCTCTGTAAGGAAGTCTGAAGGAAGGAGCAGATTCTTTCCGGTTGTGTATTTTCAAATTCTGGCGCACTCCAGCTGGTTTCTCCATTCTTACCTACCCCTACCTTTAAAGCACCTCCCTGTGATGGAGGTGAAATCAGACGTGCTGTACTCTGGAAGGCTCTGTGCTGCCCTCTGCTGGAGATGGTTATTAAGAGCATGTGGGTTTATTGAATTGGTTGGATCACTGCAGTGGCTAAATGGGGAATAAACTGGGAATGAAGTAACAGTGTGTAGAATAAAAATTAATTGTAATAAATGATCAAAGAAAGACAGTAAATAAGCCCCTCTTCTCTCCCCAGGTCGATGACCTCTGACTCCTTCCCAGCGTCCCCCTCCCACCCCTCGACCCAGGTCCCGAGCACCGTGCACCCCCCCGACCACGGCCGGGAGCACCTCAGCGCCGCGGCCCAGACTCAGTCTCTGGACCGGATCCTGCGGCCCCCCAGCGGGCCCCCGGGGGCCGTAGGAGCGGCCGCACCGGGGCGCCACGCCGCCTCTCTGGGCCGAACGCCTTCAGGAGCTCAGCCCGGAGGAGAACCGGCTGTTAACGGGCCGAGGCAGCCGTCCGTTAAAGAGTACCGGGCCGGGCACGGGTACGTTTTATTGATACTAATACCCACTGTACATTTTACATTTATGTTCAATTTAATATTGAATAATCCATTTCTTGCCCAATAATATCCTGCATTGTATTTGTTACTGGACATTTGTATTTCCACATGTACATATATCTTTTTACTTTTTAATGCTATTTTATTTCAGCAATATTTTGGACTGTTAATCTTTTTTTCTTTGTATTTCTTATTTAGGGAACGGTAGATACTAAACTTATTATTTACAGATCTGTAGATAGAAACTCCTTATTTAGGAAGCATAAAATATTTTTTAAAAGATGTTTAGGGAACGGTAGATATCAAATTCCTTTTTTAAGGGCCCTTACTTTTTAAGAGTTCCTATTCACATGTTGATGTTTTTTTACCTTAGTTGCCCATTCTGTCACCATTATCCCCTTATATCCACATATTTAACCACCCTTTTTTAAAATATATTATACATGCATAATATGTAATATACGCATATTATATATACATATTTACACATATTAATAATACATATTTTTAACGAGCGAGGAACCATATTTGGTAACTTCCGCACACACCAAACATGGCATCCCCCCCCGCGACTCAGTGAGGTCGAGAAGCATGTGGTTTTCTCCCAGCCAATCAGCGAAGATCACTCTACGCCACAGAGCGCGCCATTGGGGAATTTGACCAATCAGCAGAGGCCTGAAACGGGCCTGAAACGGGTTAGGGTTAACCCAATAATAAAGGGTTACACAATATGAACCTCATACCTGTTTCTTCTTCTCTCTCTCCCCCCCCCCCCCCCCCCCCTACAGTGGTCAGCCCTCCACCATCCCAGAGTACTACATCCCCCCGGCCCCTCCCCCTCCCCCCCCCACCATCCCCTCGGCTCAGACGGCCTTCGACTCTGCGGCGGCTGTTCCTCCCTCCGCCGTCCCCCCCCTCCTCCTCCACCCTGTCCCGCCCTTACTCCCCCTCCCCTCCTCCTCCCCCGGCCAACTACGTGCCCTCCCCCTCCCACCCCCCCTCGGGCGCCCCCCCGGCCGCCCCCCCTCCCCCCCCACCAGGGGTCCCGACCGGGTACCACGCTCACCCGTCATCGGGGGACGCGGCCAGGAAGGCCACCGCCATGCTGGGGATGATCCCGATGAGCGACGCCCGCTCAGACCTGCTGGCTGCCATCCGTAGAGGTGAGAGGGGGGTTCAAGAGGGTGTTCAAGGTCAAAGAGTTAGGGTGTTCAAGGTCAAAGAGTTAGGGTGGACATTCTTGAAATGAACTAGTCAAAGAGATGTCTTTCTGGTTCTTTAATCTTTTGCTAAAGAGGCAAACAACATGAAGAGCAATGTCTCCACAGCCGAGTGCAAGTACTCAAACTGAAGAGAGCTTTTATGCAGTTACAATATATACATGCTTAGTCATGAGATAACTGACCCATGACCCTATCAGAGTACAGTAGACCCATGGTCAGACCAATGATCAGATCACTGTGTGGTCACATGACACCTTGTGACTGATCACCTTCCTGAGTGCTGAGACCTACTGTCTCTCGACATGTAAGGCTTACAAAATGGTATTATTTATATGTTAAATATAACATCATAGCAGTCAATTTTCTGATAATCACAATTTCCATTACAAGGTCAAGGAGAAGTTCGGATTTAATACTTAATTAATATGTTGCTACTAGACCTTTTTAAGTATTAAACATGTTAAATAATTATTTTTAAACTAGAACTATTTGTATATATGAATTACCTATCTTATGAGTGTTCAAGACTTTTCTGAGTTTAATGTATTTGGTTGCATGGTCCTTGTTGAAATAAATACATAATAATTAAGGTCAAAGGTCAAGGAGAAGTTCAGATTTAACACTTCACCGCCCCCCCCCGTCCCCAGGCATCCAGCTGAGGAAGGTGCAGGAGCAACGAGAGCAGGAGGCCAAGAGGGAGCCGGTCGGAAACGACGTGGCGACCATCTTGTCACGCCGCATCGCCGTGGAGTACAGCGAGTCCGACGACGACTCCGAGCTCGACGAGAACGAGTGGTCTGACTAATAAAGTTTAAAATAAAGGGAGACGGAGGGGTGGGGGGATCACTGGGAGTAAAAAGGGGGGTGAAACATTGAGACACTGAGGTGGTTATGACGGGGGTTTGGTGATTGTTCATCATTAACATTTCAACATTCTTACAGCAACAGGTAGAAGACGTATATTCTGCCTCCCATGGTAATTTACCCCCCCCCCCCCCCCCCCCACTCATTTCTAACCACTAACACTCAGCCGTGACAAACAATCCTCTCCCTCGCTACGTATTCGAGTGGTAGTTATTAAAAGTATTACAGGTTGTGAGCCTATATTATGTGAAGGAGGGCCCCCCAGTGAGGAGGGGGGGGGCGATGTGTTTACAAAGCACATGGTATAGCACAAGCAAAACGAATTATAGTGCACTCTTAACTTATCTGCCAAATGCTGAGAAGAAGGAATTTGTGGCGGGAAAATCAGGGAAAGAATAGAGGAGGGGTCTGTGTACGAAACATACGCACTCTTTAAGAGGAAACAATGACCTTTTGATCGTTTGGCTTTTTGATCGTTTGAACCAACTTGAGATGATAGAATCTGCGCCCAAATCTTCTTTTTGTAATAAACGCTGCTATGTGGGTTGAGCGTGTAGCTTTAACTATCTCCATCATTACATATTTTTATTATTTATTGTTAAAAAATACAGGTTAGCCACCGGCCAAACACTGTTAGCTCTTGATTTGACACTAAATTGTTCATAATATGTTCAAAGAAATGAATTTACAGTAAGAAAGACAAGGAATACAATTAATATAGAGAGAGAAAAATAAACATTCAGAATCAGGTTTATTGCCGGGTACACACTCTCGTTAATCGCTCAAAGGTCCAATCTGTATGTTTTATTCACCGGTTAACTTCAATGAAATGTAATCAAATGTGGAGTTCCTTATACATTTAAAACACAGACTTGTTTATTTACACAAACTGCATCGGAAAACATTAATAATTTAGGTGCAATCTCCAGATCTTGCGTATTCAATTTTGGTTGCCGGGCAACGAGTCTTGTTTGCAATATTGTTTGTGTTTTTTTATGGCTTGTTTATTGTGTGTTTACGTCCTAATTTATACATTTTAAACAGGCAGTCCACAAGGACCAAGATGTCTTTTTCAAGACTTGTGCACAGGAAATCAAATAATATATAATATTAGGAAAAAAGTCGAATTTAAAATCTTGAGAAAATGTACCTTTTTGTAACTCATTCCCACTGTGATTAGCATTGTATTAAACACCCAGTGATCTAATTTTATAATAACATGACATGCACAATATAGAAATATCCACAAAGACAAATATGGGATAATGTTTCTATTATTTTATTTCTGGTAAAGCGATAAAAAAGCCAATCTCTGATCCCTAAAACCTTAATCATTGTGATATACAGTAGTTCCCTTATTAAGTAATAGCTGAAAAGTTAACGATGTTTTTGGGGAAACCAGCGCCACCAGCTTTTGTTAAATCTCATTCATCTTCCATATCACAGCATTGAACAACAAAGCGAGCGAGTTTACGCCATTCGTATTATTTTGTAACCATTCATGACATTTCAGGCAGTGACAGTGTGCCGTGGTATTGGTCTTTATATATATATAAACGCTTCCACACGTTAACCACACACCGGAGTCGCCCTCACAAAGCTTTTGTCATCCTGAGCCGGGGTCAAAGGTCACGCCTTCATACGACCCCGCTCACTTTGTGAACGCAGACTATAAAATACTAAGTGTAAGAGACTTGCAACAGTAATATATTATCTATTCTCTTTTCAGTATAGGTTTGGCTAATCCTCCGTATGAGCTGATTGGACTGTAGTGTTTTTATATAACGTGGTTTTTCTTTTGACAATGTGCTGCAGTGAGTTGTTCACTTTGGTTTCTTTTTTTGGGGGGGGGTTTTCTACTCCAGGCTGTAGTCGAGGTACACGAAAAAACGATTAAACTCGCATCGGAGAAGCATTTCCTACCGGATACTTCCCTTTCATCTATTCTCGAGCCTTAACATCCCTAAAAAAAAACAGGATTAAAACATAATTTAATGTTAGATTTATGCACTTCCTAATATTACATTATTTTAAATGTTCCTATCCAGAAGTGATAGATTTTTTTAATGTTTTGTTTGGCAATGAAGCATTTGGGGTTTTCTTGAACCATGAGACACAATTGCCTCTTTTTAAATGTCCTCTCAAACTGTTTCTATTTATAATTTAAGATATAGTTTCTATTTGTCCTTTTATGATACTTCCGGTAAAGATAATCTGGGCAAATTGTGAGAAGCAAGTCCTTCTAAAAAGCTTAATTATACATCAATATAAGCACTTAAACTCAAAAACAGCTAAATAACTACAGTCAAAATGTGTAGTTACTTCCTGCCTCACATTGAAAAATATAGGCGGGGAAATTGCTGTTAAAAGTTTGGCACAATTTTAACCTGAAACGATGGATATCTTTTGACCTTTAAGACACCAAATAGAAAAGTAGCTAAACCAATCAGAGGCGTCCAACATGAATCCAGACACTGTTTTGACAGCATATTTGGTCGGTGGGATCGAGGCTTTTTTCCGGGTTTGTTTTAGTGAAGAAGTTATTATTTGTTGTTGTGTGTATATAAATACATGCTCGTTACAGAACGGCTCGCTGTCGAAGAACTCAAACTGGCTTAAAAACTGGACATTTGATGGACGTGTTGTTGATGGTGGTTCTCCCTGATTGTTTGGTCAAGTATTTATGGGTATTATTATTAAAGTGTAAAAGCACATGGACCAAGATGTGAAGCAAGAGTCATGGATACAACTTCCTCTGCCCGAGCAATGAAGCACTTATTGGTCTCTTTATATCCTTAAAATATAAAGACTGAAAAACCTTAAAACACTCGCTCTTTTTTTCTACATGTATAATTGGAAATACCTGCCAACCAAATCAGTCTAAACTTTGCCCGAGTTTTTAAATCAACCTCTCGTATCTATGGCTACTGGCTTGTGGGAATACTCCATTATGTGTTGAAAATGTGAGAAATGAAATCATGTTGAATAGACTTTTTGGCGAAGCAGCCTGGAAAGTAAAAAAAAATCCATTTGGGGTAATATAACATAGACAATGGAACAAAATAAAACTGTGTATTGCACACTAAAACCAACTGTAAGCAAGTATGCATGTAACTATAGACAATAAATGGTGAACAAAACTGTTATCCTGTCTTTTTTCAACAATTAATGACTTATTTTTGTATTTTCGGGTTGATTTGCCATACAAATGAATTATGTATTTTCTCGCTGGTGTTGTTGAACAATAATAGTTGTAATCCACACAAACTGTGATAGCAATAATATACAACAAGGGTTTTGAAACTGTACGCACAAATGTGGACATACAGTAGTTGAGATGACTTTCTTTCAAATGTACTGACGAATGAGAAGCAAAATGACCGTTTTGGTGACGATCAGTCCCAGTTGTTAAAAAAAAATACTAGGGATTATTTATTTGTCACAACTTGAATAAAAAAGGCCTTCTTTAATCATGAATTCTTTTTTTTAAATGAGAAAAGTTGAAGATTTTAAGCCAATTTTCAGGAGCTTTAATGTAGGGGTTGACCCAGATTTAGCTCAAATTAAAGTTCTGACCTTAATTGACCCTTTTGTCAAGTTGCCATAAAAAAACTAGGAGCTATATTTGGAAAAGAAACCTAATACTTACAGGAAGACACAGCATGAGATAGTTTAATATAACTGGCATCTCTTCGATATCATCATTTATTAGATTGTGTGTCTCGTCTCATAACTCTTGACGTACATCCAGAAATCCTCAGTGCATTTTGTCAGCGTTGTGTCGCGCCCGTCTGTGTCGACATGATTGGTTCCAGGACCAGCGCCGTGCTCTTCTGGTTCTTGGCGAGGCGGAGGAGGAGGAGGAGGAGGAGGAGGAACCAATGGGTGCTGTTTGTGAGAGAGGAGTCATTTCGGGGCACAGATGGTGACACAGCAGAGAGAGAGAGCAAGAGAGGTCAGTGGAAAATACCAAAAAAAAGCACCATAGATGCTCATGGGACATAATGGGTGAGAAAATGTTTGTTAACCAAAGTCTGAAAGTGCAGATGAATCTTTTTAAGAAATGTTTCAGGTTATTGAGAGTTTCTGGCATCCTTTGAGTCTAATTTTAAGTCTGGACCTAATTTTAGAATCAGAGTCTTTGAATCGGATTTAACCCTCTTATTGTCTTCGTTTCCCCCCCTTACTTTGGTGCTGGCCGTCAAATTTGATCGGTCCTGTTTTAACTGCTATTACATTAACACAAAAACCATTAATCATCACCAAATTTCATTTAACACCCTTTCAAACTGTACATATTGTATCAGACTACTGGTATACATGAACAACTGCAGTACATATACAAAGAATAGACACTGAACATGTATTGCGTGTGCCAGGTGTGATCCATGTGGGGGATGGGCACATAAGGGGTGTGTGTGTGTGTGTGTGTGTGTGTGTGTGTGTGTGTGTGTGTGTGTGTGTGTGTGTGTGTGTGTGTGTGTGTGTGTGTGTGTGTGTGTGTGTGTGTGTGTGTGTTGTGTGTGTGTGTGTGTGTGTGTGTGTGTGTGTGTGTGTGTGTGCGTGCGCTGATCAGATGGTTACTAATTCCTTTTCTTTATGGCGGTACACCGCGGGTGTTACATGGGTGTTACAAAGTTGACTAAATCATCCAAAACTCAATGAAAGTGGTGATCAGCAATTGTATATGTTCAAATGTCTACTGTGAAGGATATCATAAAGCCTTAATGCAATCGAATGTAAAACAAAAAAGTAATGATTGATGAAAGTAGTAAATCGGTCAGATTTGACCCGAAGACAACAGGAGGGTTAAAGGCAATTGATTTATCTGACATTGTAAGAGACCTGCCAATTTTTTTGATGACTCAGATATATTTCCTTCCAGATTTTGGATTCCTTTTTCTGTATTTGACGTCATAAAAAGTCAAAAAATTGCGAGTACGTTATGTCATGTCCTTATACTGTACTGGCGTTTGTTAAAAAAAAAGTTGCGATTTGACAGACTGGATCTAGTGTTTGAGAGACTGAATACTATACTATTCTTAATTTAAACTACTGCTTACCCAATTAAGAAGTATAGAAATACATTTTCCAGTCATTACCATAGATTTGATTTA